GACTCCCTCAGCATCACTTTGATCGAAAGAAGAAGCCATAGAGGGAGAAGTTCTTGGGAAAGCTCTTTCTGGCGGATTTCTCTTGAAGCAGTAAGGATTCTGCTGGAGAGAGATGAGTATGGATATATATTATAAGAAACCCAACGGCTGAGATTCGGCACCCCGAGCGATCAAACGGTCAGAACGCCCTGCGACGCTTCGAACTCAGCGCCTTTAAGGCTACTCTCGAAACCCCAAACCGACAGATCGGATTGGGGCACGAGAGGCGAAGCGACCGGTCGCTTCACCATAAATGGGCATTAATGCGCCTGCAGAGTCTTGGCTGGCAAGCACTTGGGCCCGCCGACCGACACGTGGCACAAGTTTCGCCCGCAGTCGGATCCCCGACTATTGGATCAACTCGCTAGCTGTTCGAGTTTTCGCCTACAATTCAAACTCGCCAGGTGAATCAGGTCGGGTTTTCAACACAAGCCCACCATCATACGGGTCTCGCACACAGCATAAACTCGCCAGCCGTTGGGTTGCGTTTCCAAGCGAAACTCGCCAACAGTTTAGTTTAGCTTCCAAGCGGAACTCGCCGCGGTCAAAATCTCGCCTGAAAACAAATTAAATCTCGCCAATACACAAGCAATGAGCGGACACAAAACCTCATTGATACCTTAAGACAGTACATTTGAACAAAGTTATATTTTTGCAAATTGCGAAAGTCATAATGAAATGTTCAAAGAAGCAAAACATACACCCAGTGTTTCAAAACAATACATTTGAACAAAGTTATGACCTTACGGGTCATGGCGTACTTTCAAATGCAAAACAGGCAAGCAAAAGGTCTTAATACAATCCTGAGGCAGAAGTCTTAGTCGGACACGCTGAAGGTGGAGATCTCCTCTTTGACTGCCTCTACCTGGCTCGCGTGGTCTTCCCGAGCCTTATTTTCAGCGGCTTTCTGAATTCGATCTTCGCGGTTCGACATGGCGACAGCATCTGTCTGACGCAAAGCCAGCAGGCGCCGAGTCTCCGCCTCAGCGTGCTTGTTCACCTTAATAACGTCGGATTGGAGCCCCTTCCACTTCGCCTCCGCCTGTCCCAACTCGGCCCTCAGGCGAGCCATGGTATGGTTGAGGTCAATGACTTGCTCCTCTAGCAAACGTTGTTGACTCACCCAAAAGTTAGCCGCAGACTCCGAATCCGCTATCTCTTTGGAGCGGGTTTCCTGTTCCAGGGCTTCCTGACGCCCGAAGTGAGCTAGACAGGATGCCATTTTAGCCTCCGGACCTCCCCGTAGCAAGTCCTCTAGCACCATCATGCGTGGCTCCAAGAGACGGAGTTCACGCACGCAACGGGTAGCGAGACGGTTTTCACCTGATCGCCGTAAATCGGCCACGCGATCATAGAGGGACTGCCTGAAGCTGTCAAAGCTACCCATGCCGAGTTCGACGAGGGAAATTGCCTGCCTTACAGCGCCTTCGAACTCTTCGATACGAGCCTGCCATGGTTGAGACTTGAAGGGAATAGACCTCTGGCCTGGAGCAAGCGCCGTGATGGGAGGAATTTCGAGGCAAGGTTCGGCTCCCGGCTGGGGAGCGGGATCCGGAGCAGCGGAGTTCGCACGGCCTTCAGATTCGTCGTCTGAAATCAGAATGGGATCGGCCGCATGCTCCTCGGCAGCCGGCACCTCCTCTCGACCTGTAAGACGCAACAAGCGATACAGGGAACAGTTGGGGGAGGAACACCTACTAAACTCACACGAAAGTCGAAGCAAGAAGATACCTTCAGCCGCGACGGCTTCGGCAGCACCTGAAGAACCAGGCTCTTTCCTTTTCTTGGAAACGACTCTCTTCACCTTCGGCGCCATTGGGAGTGTGAGGAAGAAGAAGTTTGGGTTTACTCTGAGGAGGACGATAGGCCCTCTCGAGGAAGAGTTAGGGTGTTAAATACCCTAAGAGTCCTAGGCGGTTACTCAGTACTTGATTAGACCGTTCAGGATTAAAGCAGCTAGAGAGCAAGACCGAACGGATCGGATCTGGACGGACGAGATCTGGCAGTTCCTTGAGCACGATCTTCAACAAACGGCTCAAATCGGACGTGGGGAGCGAAGAGGCCCACTACCTCGCATTTAATGCGAGGCGGCTATCCCACGTCTCCTTAACCGGCGTACACGTGGATTAACACGTGGCCCGCTAAAAGCGTAACCCGATCAGAGTCAGGATCGCCATTAGCATTTGCAAATCCGCCTGCGGGCCGAATTCGCCTGCAACGAAATAAACCTACAGCACAAATCGATCGATGATAATCCCGCTGCAGTTGAGGTCCTCTTGCGGCCTGATTCTGACCAATGCATGGTTACGAAGATGGCACACGCACACAAATGACAATAGGCCAGAAACAAAAGGGATAATTTCATTCGTGAAAGGGAAGTCCTATTACAAACGGAAAATTGAAAGCGAATTACAGAGATTTTAACCGCAGCTCCGCCTCACGAAGTTCTTCGGCATGGCGAAGTTCAAGCCTCCTTAGAATCTCTCGGCGAAGATCTTCATCCGTACGCGAGGCCAAGTCTTGAACGGTCTCTTTGGCTTCCTTATGGGCTCGCTCCTTTTCCTCCACTGAATTGGCAGTCAGCTGCTGGCGAGATTCAATGTTCTCCAACTCTTTGACCGCCTGCTCACGAGCCTTCTCTTGAATAGCCAATGAGGCCCGCGCCTTGGCTATGACCTGCTTCAGAGTCTCTACCTCCGAAGACAGGCGAGAAACGCGGTTGTCAGCCTTCTGTCGCTCGAAGACCATCCGTTCATTCTCAGCTTTGGCCTGCTCCAGCTCCTCCGACAATCTCGCCTCTAGTGACATAGTTTCATTCAGACGGCGATCCCGCTCTTGCACCACCGCTCGGACTTCGCCGGATGCAAGATCCACAAGAGTGGAACTCTTCGCGCGAAGAGCAAGCAACTGCTGGATGGCTTCTTTCACTGCCTCCTTACGCTAGAAATAAGGCTGCGCCCCAGAATGCTTTAGCCTCTTGATTAAGAAGCCTATGATGTAGTCGATATCCTCTTCGAAGCTCTCGAAAGGACAACTCTCTTCCAGCGCGAGCCTGATGCAGGCAGCCATAGTGTCATGGAATTCAGCCACGGATCGTGCCGCACTCTTTCTTCGCTCACGCTCCAAGGGAGAGAGGGCAGCCTCTTCCATCATAGATGGAACCGCGGTTGAAGCACCGGTGGCCATAACTGTGTAAGTAGTAATTGGCGTCGCCAGGGCCGGTGTGACCAATGATGACCTCGGAACAGCAATCACGGCATCAACGGCGACCCCCGACAGGGAGGTGATCACTTGCTGAGCAGAAACCTCTCTTTGGAGCGGTGACTCTCGCACTGAGGAACAATCCTCGGCAGACACCGCCGCAGGAGCAGGGGATCCCCCTATTTGACCAGTCGCATCTTCATGAGCCAAGTCCTCTTCCTCACTCGACAGGGCCTCGTGTATTGAGGCGTCGTCGTCATCCTCCTCAGATTCGCCCGTCTCCCTAGACGAGCGATTCGCCCAAGAGGAAGGACCCTCTTTGCCGGCGATTTCGCGGGCAGGATCGGCTACAAATGCACCGAGAGAGTTAACGGAGACCCCTCGTAAGGGACCCTATTTACGGTGAGGCATGAAAGAACGAGTAATGCTAAAGTCTATACTTACCTAAGCCCGTAAGCCCCTCATCATCTCCAGCTTCTTCCTCTTCGTCGGAAGGAATGGAGATCACTTTCTCAACCGCACCTGCATAGATCCATTACCGATATCAAAAGGTGCAAGAGCAACATTCACGGCTCCAGACCCAGACGGAGCCACTCCAGACCCAGACGGAGCCACTCCAGACCCAGACGGAGCCACTCCAGACCCAGACGGAGCCACTCCAGACCCAGACGGAGCCACTCCAGACCCAGACGGAGCCACTCCAGACCCAGACGGAGCCACTCCAGACCCAGACGGAGCCACTCCAGACCCAGACGGAGCCACTCCAGACCCGGACGGAGCCGCTCCAGGAATCCTTATCGGAGAAACGTCATCCCGACCCCCTGCCACTTGGATGGTCCCGACTGTCCCATCACAGCGAGCCTTCTTGGCCGCCTCCGCTCTGGAACTCTCGGCCACCGCCTCCCGCTGACGCTTCGAGAGAAGCGAGCTACTCGGGGATAGCAAAGGTGCCCCCATTTGTCCGATTGTCGGACTCTGAACCGGAGCTTGAACATCGGGAACCTCAGGTTCGCCACCAGCATCGAAGCTCTCACAGTCCTCCACTGGATCCTCCGAGAACAACTCCCTAGCGGTTTGGTGGCCCCTTCTCTTTGAAGAACGGAGAGAGCCCCTGATGGGACGATCGCGTTCCGCCAGACATGAGCTTTGGAACCAGAAGTTGGCAGGGTCAGCACTAGCACCCCGATACCACCGACAGTACAAGAGCGTGTGGTGTAAATCGCGGTCCTTCGCAGGCAACTCGAAACGAGCTTGAGTACCTCCAGCATGGGTCCAGAACCACCCCCGAGCGCCGTCAACCAGTCCTCCTTCGAAGTGTAGGCGAGGGTTGGCGTTGCCCACATACAATTGATCATACCCAAACTGGCGGGCAAACCTGCAAGGGATGTATGGCTCGAGATAGCATGTGGAGCCTGTTCTCAGAACGTGATACCCTGGTCGAATGTCCACCAACCAGCGAAAGGCACCACGGGAAAGGATTGTGTGGTGATCCGCCGTCGGCGCATCCCTGAGAGATTCTCCATATCCACCCCCGCTAAAGTAAGGAAAAGATCGACGAAAATTATAGTGCCCGAAGTGGGAGAGCGTCTTCCTCGTATCGGGGATGTCCTTGCACTTCCAAGAGCACCTCTCCAAACGCTGGACGAAGGGAACAAACTTGTCTCCCTGAAGCGCTGCCGGGGCACTCATCAAGCATTCGCAGTGATAGACGAACCATGCCATCAAGTAGGTATACGGTAGCCCCACCCTAGGATTGGGGGTTCTGATAACTTCTCCTTCCCCCTCGTCGAGGACCGACACACGGCAGAATTGGCTCGTCAGAGTACGGAGCCCCCGATGGATGCACGCTATCGTCGCCGATACCAGGGAATAAGACTTCCCGTGAGCCAGGCAAACCGCCGGATACACGACCTCTATAGGAAGAGCCTCGAAGGAGTGAGTGGGGATTACGCACCTCTTCAGCCATAACATGAGGTACCCCGCGAGCAGCGCCTTCCCCGAAATGAGAAACTTCGCCTGATGATGGAATGAGTGAAGGACCGTACCAGCCTTAAATCCGCCCTCGTCGCGGTCAAGAGTAATGGTGCTTCCTTCTTTAGCTGTCCTCGCCTCCACTTCGGGCTGGTCGCACGCGCCTAACGGGAGAGCGGGCTTCCCCTTGACATCGTTCCCAGGGAACAGATAATCAGCCCAATTCTTGTGGCTAATCCCTGGGGTCTTCTTCCTCTTCCCCTTATGATCCGAGGCCCCTAAGGTACTGAGGCATATGTGGAAGTGACAGAGTAACTCCCACAGAGTTTCAACCGCCAGAGGGGAATTGTCCGACAGCTGATCGATCTCATCTTGATCAGGGACGTATTCCTCATAAGGGAAGTCTCCCAGAGGTAGCCCTGACACGTCGTGCATCTCGAAGGGGGTGATGCCAAGTTCACCGTTGGGGGTGAAAAATGTGCCGCTTTCCGTACAATACAATTCCAGAATGCTATGAAATTGAGAAGCGTTGATCCGCAGGCCATGTCGAGTGGCTTCGATGGCCACATATAGCTCTGTGCCCTTG